TATTCATATGTTCACATAATGCAATTCAAAGTTTGAACATTATTCATATATTCACATAATGCAATTCAAAGTTTGAACATGATTCATGTGTTCACATAATGCAACCCAAAGTTTGAACATAATTCATGTGTTCACATAATGCAATTCAAAGTTTGAACATGATTCATGTGTTTACATAATGCAACCCAAAGTTTGAACTTAATTCATGTGTTCACATAATGCAACCCAAAGTTTGAACATGATTCATATGTTCACATAATTCAACGCTAAGTTTGAATATAACTCATATGTTCATATAATTCAACGCTAAATTTGAATATAATTTACATGTTCATATAATGCAATGCAAAGTTTGAACATGATTCACTTGTTCATATAATTCAACGTTAAGTTTGAATATAATTTATATGTTCATATAATTTAACAGTAAGTTTGGACATAATTCACATGTTCACATAATGCAATGCTAAGTTTGAACATGATTCACTTGTTCATATAATTTAACACTAGGTTTGAATATAATTCATATATTCATATAATGCAACGTTAAGTTTGGACATAATTCACATGTTCACATAATGCAGCGCTAAGCTAGAACATAATTTTTCAAAGTTCATACAGTCACCTTATCGAGTTGTTAAAATAAAAATTCTTCATACTAGTCCATGACGAAAACTTGCTCTAAATAAATCAAAAACTTTCCTTCAAAAATTCTGAAGCATCTTCCTATCACAAATTTTAGGTCGACGATCAGAAAACCGCAGGTCGAGGTACTCTGAGGTTCAACTCAAGATCGCTAGAGGAATCCACAACCGCTTCGCTCTCAAGATCCAGATCTCAAGACAGATCGCAGTCAAGAAAATCGAACTTCGAACGAAACGACAGAACAACCTCATCGAACTTCGAACGAAACGACAGAACAACCTCTCCGACCGACTCGGAGTCCACAACCAAACGTCCAAGCCCCACAGCGAGCGATGTGACCGAAATCCCCGCAAGAAGGACCACGGACCCGAACAGAAGAAACGGTAAAAGGTTCTCTCCAGAGAGGACGAGGTCGAAGGATGAAAACGCGATAGATTCCAAGGTCATATCTCGAAGGGTGTCGAACGGGAGATCCGACGGAGTCACGGAGAGGCTGGACAACACAGGGCCGTCGGTCTTCGCGTTGACGACGGAGTCCTCGAGGTCGAGGACCGGCAGGAAGATCCAGACGACGTTCTCCACGAAGGACCTGAAGACGCAGATACCCGCGTCGAGGAGGTATAATAAAAAATCGGAGAACGTAGAGGCGACTACAGTTTCCTTCAAAAGAGGCAGACCCACAACGGAGCGCAGTAGGTCCGGCAGGTCGAAGGTGAACAGGGAGAACTCTGTTGCTCGCAAAGGTCAAGAAGCCCTTTTGTACGAGTCTGAAAGCGTCAGAGTCGACATTCCTCTCGCAGTCGACGGAACAGAGAGTCCTTCCAGTGATCCAACGACCGTCGGCTTCGGTATCGTTTCCCAAAGAAGGTCGGACACCAAGGAGACTCTCAGGGGCAGGTCAGGAGCCGAGAGGAAGAGCAGAGGACGATCGAGCGACTCCGAAGCTGCCGGCTCCTCCAGAAACGGCTCCCGAAGAGGATCGTCCAGGTTCAACGACTTCTCCACCACGGAAGCTAACGAGGTTGGTTCGAGGAAAAGCTCTTCCAGGGATCGTTTGAAGGAAACTAGGAAGAGCGCTAGTGAATCGAGATCGAGATCTAGAGGTAGAGAACAGACGAAGAGTGCAGATGTGGATGTCAAACGAAAATCGGGAGACAGGAATTCTTTGGATAGGAGGTCCAGACTTTCCGAGGGAACTACGAGGTCGGTGGAAAGTCGCGGACAGGATCAGGATGCCAGGAGATCCAGGAGCAGAGCGAGGACGGAAACGACGCCTCTGGCTACGGGTGAGTTTATTTCTGAACTGCAAGCGTATGATGCAAGTTAGAATATGTACGTGTTAACTTTTTACCTTGATGAAAATGAACATTGATTTCGAGGAAAGTTTGTAATTTAATTTATATATGTGACATTTTATTTAAAGTACATTACTTTTATCTCGTGTATTTCTTAATGTACATATGTTTGTAGTATTTTATATATTTATTTATGTGTTTTATTATTGTCAAATTTGTTGGTGTTTGTGCCACACATTTTTATCGACTATCGATAATTCATTGACAAGTAGTTCAGAATAATTGCTGAAATGAGTCCTTATAATATGATGGATTTTCAGCTATTTTATAAAGATAAATAAGATTATATTGAATATAAAAAATATTTGAGTAACTTCTTTGAAAGTCTTCAGAACATGAAGGGACCTATCAAATTCATGTAGACTGATGTCTCCCTTCATCACTTTCGAATTGTACAAAACTTGTACTCGTATAAACTTGTATTTTGATAATTTGTATTATTCTGTAAATTTTGAGTCAGTATGAATTTTATTTTTTACCTAGATGTCACCACAACCGTCGCGCCAGAGACAACAGTCTTCACCGACTCGACGAGCACCGAGCCCGAAGTCTCCAGCACCACCCTTAAACCAACGACAACTTCAACCACAACCCGAAGCACGTCGCGATCATCTTCTACAACCGAAAGAAACCGAGGAAGAGGCAGAGGCAATCAAGGAAGAAAACTAAAGGAAGATTTCTTCAACCACGGACTCGGATTTCGAGGACGAAAGCCATCTCTGGATGCATCAAGCACCGGGGAGTCCAGAAGACCCACCCCCAAAAACGATTCCTACATAAACCCCGGTTGGACCCTCAGAAGACGACCACCTAACTTGAACTACTCCGACAACCTTCCACAAACGATCCCTTCGTCGAGAGACCAAACGAACGAAGTGATTCCTCAGAACGAGGTATCGACGAGCACCGAAATCGTAACTACGGTGGAAACCTCTACATCCACCGCGAGAAGAGGTTCTAAAAAGCTGCAGTCCACGGAGGAGAGCACTACGGAGATGGATGTTACTACGAAGAGTTTCAGAAGGGGTAATAAAACGTTCGAGAAGAATAGGAACGTTGCACCTGGGAAGCAGGAGCATGAAGAGAGCGACAACTATCCGCCGGAGTTTAAGGCCAGGTTGTCTCTGTTGGTGAGTTTGGTTTAGTGCAATTTTAGGGGTAAATGGACATTTTGTGTGGCGTTATTTTTTTTCACGTTATTTTTTAACACGTTTACTGACGAAAATACACATGTGTTGTTATGTTGGATTAGCTGAGTAAGATTAGATTTTTGAGCAAACAAAATGAAAGTAAAATTGTAAAGAAATGTAAAATTGATACGAGTAAGTAGAGAGCAGAAAAATATGAGAAAACTTGAATTCCTGATTGACGAATTTAAAAATGTATAAATTTAGAAATTATATCACTGTAGGTAAATTACGTGTACCTACAATGTTGTTGAATTTCATTTCGTATTAATGAAATGAGCGAAATGACAATTACTGAAATCTGTCAAATAACAGAAATCTATCAAATGACCGAAATGTAAAAAAATTATAATAGTGAACCGCAGTAAACGTGTTAAAGTTCTGATCACATTCGACAACGTCATCAAATAAAGTTACCCAAGCTAATTGAGAAGTATGATTTCAGAAGAGTACGAACACGAAAATACCAGCCCCGAAAACTACCTCTAGAACGCCATTGGAGGTAAGAGTTCCGTGTGTCCTACAAATCAGCTTACAGCATCCGATCAATTGTATCTTTCTTTATCTCTGATTAATAAATGTAACATATATTTTCTGTGCTTCCATTCTAGTTCAACGATCTTCAAGCTTATACGAACGATACTTATAATACGTAGACGTAACACCATTGACGTATGACTAAAAAAAAAAGAAATCAAATATGGTACAACGAACAGCTAAAATTTAGCACGACTGACAATATCAAAACCACTTGTATATATCTATGTAACTCTAACACGAAACAATAATATAATCAGCATGCACGTAACAGAACACACCAAGTAAAAATGGTTCCCTTTCTCGCGGACGATTGTTCAGACGTTACAAAGAGTCGTTTCAAGTTTCCGAAAGAGTTATACCGGTGAAATCATTTTCATGTAGTTTAGGAGTATAGTACTTTCTATTTTGAAACGATTCGTGTAGGATCAGAAGAATACCTTTGGTCGACGCTCGAGAAGCAACTCGAGGACAATCGAGGACCTCGAAAACGCAGCTTCAGGGGATCTTGTAGTCAAGGATCAAAATTTTATTGAGTTCGCGTTGATAAATGCCAACGGATTGCGACGCGTAAGAGTACAATATTTGCATCACGCGATCGCTTTTGTTTAGAGTCTTCCATGTGCGAGCTACGTCACGTTTCGGCCATTTTGATTTCTTCTGGTTAATCTTTAGTCGAAGCTGGTCTGTATTGGCCATAATTATTATTTGGGAAAATATTTAATATTTTAGTTTATGGAAATTATGGTGATTGTAGAAGATAGTAGATTTTTTTTATTCTTCTATCTTCTTCTTCTTCACATTTTTCAATGTCATTTATAGATCAGCTCTTGCTTTGGATTCGTCAGAATTTTATCAGAAATAATGGAACGCGGCGTGTTGCTAGCATACGTGTTAGAAAATGATATAGCAATCGTATTTTTGGTGTGACATTTTCCATATCCCAAATATCATTCTATTTTTCAAATCTTCCTGAATATATTCTCAAATATTTAAGTCTTCAAATTTCTATATTTTTATATTTCTATATTTTCAAACTTCAATGTTCCCCAATTTTTATATTTCAAAATAGATTCTCTGAATTTATGTTTCTCAATTTCTCAAATATATTTCTAATTTCTCCGATTTCTGAGTAGCAAATTTTGTATCGAATTTCTCTGCAACCTAAAAAATTAATAACTCAAGTTTTGACGTCACAGTTTGACCGCTCTAGTAACCATTATAATAGGAACATGTCTACGTCAATCCGATGCCAGCTCTGCTATTAAATGTGTGACAACATTAATAATGTCATGCGTTGCACAATGATATACCTGACGAAAGTTCTAATCTAGTAGCATTTCGATTCGATATACTATTTATCTTTCAAATGACTCCATCATTTTCTATGAGTTAGATTCATAAAAGAGGTCACTGTGTGTCACTAAAAAATATATCAAATGTTCTAACATACTTAGGGTACACAACTTTAGATTCTTTTTTACACCAAATATAAATAAGTGCATATATGATTTTCTAACATTCGAACTGGTCAATTGATATACAAGTTAGAATATTTTCTTGGAATATGTGAGATTAAGCGCTGGATTAACTAAGTTCTGCTTTCTGTCATCATTGACGACCAAACAAGACTGGAAAATGATGAGCGATTAACAAGCTTAAGGGTTTAGTCAAATTGTGGAACTCTGGTGATGAACTTTTGTGAATCTTGTCTTTTGAGAGAAGACAAGAACAATTTCGAAGTGAAATGACGAAGCAATATTTTCTTGTACTTTCTCAAAATATTTGCATAACGCTGGACTTCATTTTATAATTAATACAGCGAGTAAATTTTACAATTCCTCTCATAGTGTAAAAAAATATTTTTTCTTTTTATCAAGTTTTCAGAGACAAGCTTAATATGTACCAAGTAATATTTTGGAAAAGAAAGTATGAGAAAACGTTCTTTGTCTCAGAATTTACTTCAGCGAAATTATTACTGTCTCTTTTATGTATGAAGCAGAAGAAGAATGACAAGTATCACGAAAGTTTTTAAATTTTGTCAGATGAGGTCAAAATTGATTTGGAATTAGAGATCCTCCGTGATCACGAAATAACGATGGTGCACCGGTCCGCCATTTTTCAGTAATGTGGCGCGAAATTCAATTTGCGAAGAATTTTATCTAAACGATGCAAGTTACAGAAATAACAAATCTCTTATTAATTTTAATTTGATTATAATATTATATCATTGCTTCAGATTAAACATTGCCTCTAAAAAGCATACAGAATATAAAAAGCCTACTACACTTCATAATACAACAAACACCAGAAAAATTTCATATCTGTAACTTGTATCACCCTGTAATTTATATTGCAACTTCCATCAAAGTCATCACAAATCAAATTTCGTGCCACTTGCTGCAAAATGATATATAGATCTAACCTCGATTATTTCGTGATTGAGTCTCTATCCAGAATTGAATTGAGAAATTCTAGACCCTTAAAAGAGAAAGAGCGACGGAAAAACGAGCTTGTTTTGGTGGTTGGTCTCTCGTTCGAGAGGCGAATTTGTTGGGTCATCGACGATATCGTCTAATCTCCAAACAGGACTGGATCGAACGATATCCTAACACGAATCCTCGACGAGGAGTACTCTCAAGGTCCGTGGCGCTATCCGAGGGTCGTATTCGTCGAAGAAAATCGCTTATTTGGAGTACAAAGTAATCCGAGGATTTCACTCGAACGAGTTAAGAGAGTATTACGCAGCTGGCAAACTGGTTTTCGGGTTTCGTTCGGTTACTTTCGTTTCGGAATCCCGCCGGAGAAAGTGAAGGTTCGTTTGACCTACCTGAATATAATGCGTTCCGATTTGTTCTCCACGGGTAGCACGATCGATCTAGTTCGATTTTATGCTCCGAAAGAGATCTTCTAATCGAATGGTGCACTTTCGACATTTTTCAGTTTGATGGGACAGTCTCTTTCGAATCACGTTCGAACGGGTTTCTAGCTTGTAATTATATCGAGATTGATTTTGTGGAAAGCACCCTTTGTTTCTTGATGAGAATTGGGACCAAATGATCGTGTACAGGGATTTCGTAAATTCAACTTTGAGATCTTATTAGGTCTGGTGCCAATTATTTGATTGCTTCACTTCTGCACTTATTTTTTATTTGGTTACGTGCAAGTAGGCTGTGGGTAAGAACCAGGGTTGGGACGAGTTTTGTACTTGTCTCTGCTCTTTAGGTCAATGTTTCATCATCAAACCTGAGAACTTTCAAATTTCCAAATTCACATATTCCTAAATATTTCTAAACTTCGAAAATTGGTCGATCAAAAATTGAGAAGAGGACCTCACCCTCCAACGTTATTTTCCCTAAGAAAGGGAGGTCTACGATGCTCATCAGTCAATATTTAATGGTACCCGTCGTCCTGGAACCAAATCACTAGGAGATCCCGTGGAAAGTTTTGTTTTTCTTGGAATAGTGAAAGTAAACGTTACAGTTTGGTTATCAAAGTAAGTCTACATTTGACAATTTTCATGTGATGAAGTCATAGATCTATTTCATGCGAAATTTTAACTTAGTACCTCATTAATGAACATTGATGACAATGTACATCACTGTTGTTAGACTTTTAATTGATTATTTTTAGGTGTACTGTATATTGCAAAATACGTGAAGAACTCGTTAACCAATCTCGTGAAGGAAAAGATAATACTTGTCTATATATAACATAAATCACCTAACTGTATTAAAGTGACAGTCCATCAACAAATTAATACCACTTATTACAGTGAAAGCAGATAACAGCAAAAAGCACTCAAAGTTAATTTTGAGGTTAAGTTAATAGAATTTCGCACGAAACTACGTCCTAATTACATAGGTGAAAGAAGGTCGTATGATTGAAATAAGATTGGTATCTCCACTTTGATGCGTTCGAAGCTATTTACTTTCCCCGATACAAAAAGCCTCAGAATTCTCCACGGGATCGAATAAGCCGAAGAAGAATAAAACCAAAAATCACCTCGTTCACCGCAGCTAATCGCTTGACTGACGCTTTTGAAAGGATACGTCGAACGAATACGTGTTGTGTTTCCTCACAGTAGAGTAACTTTCGTAGCGTACAATAAATTAACCGTCCGATCAGGCGCGTGAATCAATTCTGACCCTAGATCCGAAAGAAATGCTCGACGCGAAAGAACTTTCTACCGAGGTCAGAATCGAGTCAAACGGTTTGGCGGGCGGTTAAGAGTAGTTTGGTTTAGCAGATTCCGGCTTGTTAGGTCGAATTAGTCATCGACTTGGATCGTTCATTTAGGTCGTGATCACGCCTCTCTTCCTCTCGCACGTCTCCCGATCGCCTAATCGTCTGATAACAGTGATTAAACGTTTCAGTTGTTGTCCAGTACAGTGAAATCGTGGCTGACGCTCGTTACGAGCCAAATGGCAGCCTGGATCGTCTCGTTTCTGCGCTTCCTCAGGCTCCTATTCTTCATGTAGGAGAAAACCGAGCTCCCCCTAATCGAACTATTGTCCCCCCGACTTGTCGCGAGTGTATGCTTTCCGAGTGACCTTGAGAACGTCTCCCGGCGACGGGAACCTCGTCGAGACCGTGGCACACTAACAGAGTCCCCGCTCGAGCTTCCGGAGCCGGCTTTACTCTCTTCGGCGGTAATCCACTATCCTAAAACGGGGCTGTTTCAACGAACCTTTCAGGTGAAGAGATCGTCGGCCGCTCTGTTCGCCGAACGATCGAGGATGAAGCTGGAGCTGGCTAGGAGGTTAGTGAAGCCAGAGTTGAACATCGAGGAGAATGATCTCGACGCAACCACGGCCTCCTCTTTCAGCAAACCGAGGCCGACCGTGGCGTCGACGGTCGATGAGACGGCCAAGGTCGCCAAGTTCGTTAAACCGTCTGCGGGTCGCAGAACGTCCACGGAAAAGAGGTCTCGAGAAGACGAGAAGTCGAAAGTTTCCGCGAGGACAGGCGACGACTCCTCTAGGTTCGCTAGACCGAATTCGAAGAAAGGACGAATCATCTCCGAGAGAATGGTCACCTCGATCTCGGTGGAGGAAAGGGCTGCCGAACAAACCACCAAGCCATACTCGTCGAGTCAGTCGGTGGTCACCTTGTCCTCCGCTGAAGAGGGATCGGCGACCACCATAGACACCACGCGGATTCGCCTGTCCAGCGCTCGGAACGGAAAGAAATCCAAGGAGGAGACCTCGAAGAGACGCGAACACGACGACACCATTACCACTTTCAAACCGAAGAAGCCCTACGCGTATCAATCGCGCGTCACCAAATCGCAGGAACAATCTACGACCCCCGAAGAGAATCTAGTAACGTCCAAAAAGACCTACGCCTCGTCCAAACAGAACGGAGGGCAACGGAAGTTCCAAAGCTCCCGCGAAGAGGATGCGAGAAGAACCAAGTCCACGACAGTTACCAAACCCACCTTCAGACCCCGATACAGCAAACGAACGAAACCGAAATCGATCGACGACAAGTTGACAGACTACGAAGCGACGATCACCACGAAGGTACCTGTTGCTACCAGCAGGTACTCCAGGAAGAAGTCCGTGGTAAAGGCTACAGAGGGTAAATCGAAGACCACCACGGAAGGAGTAGCAACGCAGACGAAGAAGCTGGAGTTTCGTCCTAGAACCGCGACCTACAGAAGACACTCCGAGGTGCCGACGACCTTGGTGGAATCGAGTACCAAGGTTGAGGGTGCAGGAGTCGCCATCACTCCCAGATCGACCAAGTATTCCGCGACTCTGAAGACCTCGACAGAAAGCGCTCGATCGGTAGCGCAGGAACCGCAGGTTAACCTGAGGATCAGCAACGACACCGCGCAGGAAGCGGCTGGCATTACCGGCAGCAGTAACGGAGACACCGGCAGCAATATCTTCAATCCGACCAGAAGCACCATTCTCGCTGGAAATGGAACCCTGTTGGAACAACTGCGAAGCACCGTCGCGCCGCTGCTCAACTCGCTCGGTAACAAGACTCCGGTGTTCTCTGGATCCTACAGCAACGTTAATGTGGTGAGTAGTTTTTTTGTTTTGGATAAATTAGATTTTTGATAGATTGATTTTTGTTGGGGCCTTGATTGTCATTGACTCTGATTAAATTTTTAATTAGTTGTGATCAGTGATTATACCGAGGGACGGGGAATACGGAGATTGATTGAATATACGGAGATTGATGGATATTTGGGTAGTTTTTTTATTTGGAAAAATAAAAATATGTGAAGATATTCTCAGATTTTTGAATTTTTAGAACATTTAACTTTTCAGAGTTTGAGCTTTCTAAAGTTAAATATTTGATATTTCTACATTTGGAAATTTTGAAGTTAGAAAATTTGTAAATCTAGAATTACGAAATCAAAGGAAATAAACTTCAAAATATTGTTTCAGAATTCAGCTCCCAGAATCACACCAAACGGATCACCGCCCCGATTTAGCGCGAGATACAAAGGTGCAGAATTATTTGTCAGAAAACAAAATAACATTTATCAACCCACTGTGCCATCGATCACTAGCTCGTCTACAACACCAGCTACAACCGTAGAGGTAAGATCATTTCAAAGTTTCAATTCAATATTTCAATCGCTTTCATGATGTATTCATTAACTAACCGAAGGTATTTAAGACAGTTCCATTTGCAAACGTAAGTTCTTTCGTTTTCTTTAAATAAGGTGCTTTGTAACTTTAAGAGGATGCAGGTAGGAATATAGGGAACTTAGGAGACGTAGGAATATTGAGACATATGAGTATAGATATTTATAAAAAGTAGAATGCAAGGGTATATGAATATTCATGGGCAGCTAGGTATACATGGGTACATAGGGGTTTTGAGGCATTAGATCTTGAGATATAGGGACTTAGAGACATAGGGATCTTAATACATAGAAGTCTAATAACACAGATATCTGAAAACATAGGACTCCAAGTACCTACGTGAGTAAATATAACGAGGGACAGGGAGTACTTTTATGGAGATTGATGGACATTTGGGCAGTTTTTTGGGCATTTAGAAGCATAGAACTCTAGGAACATAAATATATAAGAACACAGAAGAGATCTAGAGATATAGAAATGTACAGACATAATATGATGAATTTAGAAATATAATAAGATTCAGTACAATACTTGTATGACATAGATTTTACTTATTAGATATCCAAACAGTACATTTTACAATATCCCGCTTACATTTTATCGAGTTTCCCGAATACGATTGAACAAAGGTAACGTAAGATTCCTCGCAAATTATCTACCTTTGCACTGTTCTAAGAAAGTCGTAAAAATATAAAAAACATAGAATGTGTGCGAACGAGATGGATCGTGACGATGATTACCGAGGTAAGATTACGTGGCAGAAGAAAGTCGTAGCTGATTAACAGTGAGTCAGTGTGGTCGTTTTTTGTGTGCTTAAAAGGTTTTCACCACGAAGATAACCGAGGAGATCGAAGCTGTCGCGCCGCCATCTTGGACCGATCACATTGGTATCATCACAACTCCATCCGGGAATCACGATCTTAACGGCATCGATACGAATAAACTTCGTTGAACTAATTGTACCTTGTTCGCCACTAATTATATTCATCTATCTTCATTTAGCGCCGCAGGATCGTCGTACTTAGTTTACTATAAAGTTACACTTTTAACATTCATCATGTACAAAATTTTTCACTAGCACTACAGTTAAATAGAACAAAAAAAAGATTACAAGTAATAGAGAAGAAAACGAATAAAAAAAGACCACTAATTTGTGATTAACGTTGAACTTTTTTATGCTACTCTCTTGGGTTTACTCGTACTAATATGTACAGATATTTACTTACAGGTATTTTCTTATCACTTACAGTGCATATATTGTGTTATATAGAATTATACAAATATATATGTTTTTGGTAATAAATGTACTTGGTTCTTGGATCGCACGTGATACGCAGTTGTTCGTTCTTGATTGTAACATTGATCAAATAAAATCTTCCAAATAGCTTCGCTTGTTCTTTAATCTCATACCGAGCTCGCACGTAGATCATAAAACGAACACGAGACTGTGATGCCCGAAAGTACATAGAATAGTCATAAGTTTAATAGATTTTGTACTCGCGCAGCTTCAAGATTAAATAAACGTTCTGCAACGAACTTAACGTTTCATTTGAATCCGACGTAACTGGACTTTACTTTCTAATATGAACGCATTCCGATTACGTGGGTAGACTTTTCGTGATCTGTCCATTTCGCGGTATTCGAGGCGGTAACGAGTGAAAGTAAATGGATGCTGCATAATGTGTACACACGTTGAAACTGTCTTAAAGCGATCGTATCTGGGACACGTGGGTGGATCGGACTCGTTACAAACTTAGCAAAAAAATCACGGATTCTCGATGAAAATTTTCAAGTAATTTTGTCGCAACTATTCGGAAGTAGTTAACGTCGAGTTAAACCTCGTTGGGATTTCGTTCCGATTCGACGTCGTTAGGACATATCGCTGGAGACCTCTGTGAGAGAAGATTAACAGCTGCGAGAGATGGCGATTAAAAAGAAAAAAAATCAAAGTGAACGGGCAACCAGTCTCTATCGCCTGTATCAGCGATCCATTGCTCAAAGAACGAGTTTCTAGCTCGCTAATCCGCGCGTTTGTAGCGTATTAAAGCAGCCTCGGTTTCTCCTCTTCCTCGGATAGTTCGTATCTCCACCAAGAGATGGTGTATACTCCTTCGATTATGCGTCCGATCGATCGTCCGGTCGTATCGTTTAAATTAACAATCATTTCCAAGAACGAGCACCGCGTATCGCGTGATTCTATCTGCTAGTGTAAATATCCTAGATCAATGTCTATATGTCTGTACATAAAGTTTCTGCAGGACCACCCGGCACCTTCGATCTACCGTATGTATAGCACCCTGCACGCACGAAATTTCTGTTTTTAGAACTCTGGTTCGGCACCACCGATCGATGTCTCGAGTCCTGGCGAGCCAAGGTTCTTGACCCTTTATCACGCGTTGGAGTCGGCAGACATCAGGAACGAATTAGAAGCGAACACGAGCGTACAGGCCGACAGGGTTCTCCAGGTAGACTCTAACGCCACTGTCGCTAACGACAACAGCAGTAATTCTAACAATGACACCACAAGCCCCTCCGTAGCGACCACCGGCCCACAGACCCCAGACACCACCGCGAACACTACTCTGACCTCGAGATTATCCGAGGATACGGAGAACACCACCCCCGCGGTTACCACGGGAGTCCCTGAAACCCCTGCGACCACCGAACAACCCTCTAACGCCGAACAACAAGCCTCCAGCACGGAATCACCCTCTACCGAGCAACCTTCCACCAACGCAGTTTCCATGTCGCCACCTGAACAAAGTAGCACGGATGCGCCGACTACGACCGTCGGAAACTCAGAAAGTAGTCAGATACTCTCGACGACTACCACGGAAGTTCCTACCACGACAGGGTCCAGTACCGAAGCAAATGTGCCTAGTACGACCGAGGCCGCGTCGACCACTCAAGGTGCGCAAGGTCTGACGGAGAGTACCACGATGGCTGCCGTCAGCGACGCCGCGAGTATGTCCGAAAGTCCGGAGAGCAATACTATACCGTTCTCCGAGACGCCAGCCACTCAGTCGACCGATTCGAGTTCGACCGATGCCCCCACGACCGAGGCCATATCGAGCAATATGGTGGATGCGGAGACAACTACCGTGATACCTACCACCACGTCGCGACCTAGACTGATCGATTTAGCGCAGGATATTCTGTCCCGTTTGCAAGCGTCTCTGAACGTTACCACGCAGCCGAGTGTAGACTCCACGACTATACCTCCAACGACCGAGATATCGAACGCGATATTAGATATTAGATTCGACGCGAACAATACCCTGCAGAGTCTGTCGCAGTTGAACGAAACGGGAACAGCTGAACCGGCAACCACCGATGAAACCACTACCCAGAGCGCAGTAGGCTCAGTCCCTACTACGACACCTGCGACCACGAATGACCCGTCCAGCTCAATGGTATCTACCCAAGAAGCCAACACGCTGGACGAATCGAGTCCAGTTACAACCACCACACCAGTAACACCACAAGACTCTCAAACAGTTCCGAACACAGAATCGACCACCGTAGGCGACCCCAACAGTTCCTCCAGCCCTCCGTTAGACGTTGATGCGACCACTGCGTCGACGGTTACCACCACGAACGATACTTTACTGACAGAATTAATGTCCATCGCCAAGACCCTCTTTTCGGAAGAGATGAACGACACCGAAACATCGGTACCTGTTCAAACGACGACCGATGTTTCTGGCGTGTCAGGCACGATTCAAGCCACGGAATCGTCGTCGATTTCGCCGGATGTCACGACAGAAACCGTAGAAGCAACTCCGACCACTGTAACTATGTCTGACGTTACCACATTTTCGGTCGATCCCTCGCAGAACGAGGTGGACTCCACAGACCCCACCGTGACCGTTTCGTCTACGGAGAGTTCGACAGACACGCCCAGTACAACTCTAGTGAATAACATGCTCGACAACCTGGTGGATGTCGCGCGAACGAACGACACCGCAACGTTAGGAACACCCCTCGCCGAGAACGTAGAGTCGACCACCCCCTCGTTAACGACCGAAAACGAACAAACGACCCTCTCGATTAACGTATTGTCCAGGCTCGAAAGTGGCCCGGACACCACGACTCAGTTGTCGACAACCACACAAAACACGGAAACGACAGTCGCATCCACCGCCATTAATTTTGAACTAACCACTAACACGTTCGATTTGATATCGACCGACTCGACGACGACGACGACGGGGCCGCAAGCGGCTCCCGAACTTACAGAAACCACCACACCATTAACCGATCTCACGACCGTAACACCAGAGCTTTCGCCAAACACTAGCACTAATCAACCCGAAGTAACCACGATTCCTGAAACAACTCAGTCCACTGTAAATACGATGAGCACGCCGTTGCCCGAAATGATAGTCGAGCAAACCACGGTGGTGTCCACTACAGAGTCGATCCAAAGCGTAACAACCGACGTGACAACCACGTCGCCGATCACGAGCACTCCGCGATTGGACGTTAACCCGATGGACGACGCTGAGGTCACCACCAGCCAGACCCCGCTAACGTCCAGCCTAGAGTCCATTGTGGAAACCACTACTAATACGCCCAGCGAAACAACAAACCTCCCCCAAACAACCCCGACCCTCGAGAACGAAACTCCAACTGTTGTTGCCCGTTTCCAGGATACGACATCAGCAACCGCCCAAGGGACGGCAGGTTCAGGAATCGGCCAAACGACCGAGAACACCACTCCCATGACCATGATACCTTCCACACCTTCTCCCATGCAATCCACCACCCAGTCTCTCGTTTCAACCACTTCATCTTCGGTCGAGACTACGACTACGACGCCGACGATGACTACGACGACGCAGACAACGACGAAAATCGGACGCGTTCCCGAGCTCGCAACGACACAGTCGAGCATGGGTGTCGTCACCGTCACGCCGATGCCCGACACGACGGTTCCTACGACGGTCACGGGTGCCGTAGAGGACAATCTCGTTTCCACCGAAGCTGGGACAACGATGCAACCTATGGGACCCATGAACGCAACGATGATGACCATGAACGCAACCGCCGCGAACACAACCGCCGAAACGACGACCCCGTCGATGCAAACCACTCCTGCGACTTCGACGATGGCTCCGTCTTCTCAGGCTCCCACGACGGCGTACATGGGTCGATTCGGGGGCTCCAGGTTGACGCCTGCCCCCAGGTTCAGCCTCAGCTCCACCACCAGAGCTCCTCTGCGGGACTATCTGGTCTACGGGATATATCCTAACAAAACGATCGTTAGGAAACGACCGGAGGACAACCTGATCGACGCTAGGAACGTGGACAGCCCGTACGTGATATTCGGTATCTTCCCGGATGGCAGGCTGGTCCGGAAATTCCCGAACGGAACGATAATACCGGACCCACCTAGGAGCCCCGTCGAGGTTGTGTTCTCACTTAGCACTACCACTACCACTAACAGGCCACCACCCAGACCGTATTATAACCAGGCTAACCAAGGCGTTTACAATCAGTATCAAGGCCCGGTGTACAGTAATATTCGTAGACCTGAGCCGATGAGAATCGTCCAAAGTCCCGGCACCGTTGACCTCGGCCTTACTGGTAACGCGATCGTCGGCCCCAATGGAGGTGGACCCGGTTTCACGGGGCCACTTGGTACCCCTGCTAGCCTCCCGAGCACCAACGAAATGGTATCTCTTATTCCACCTGTTCATCATCGATCGTTAGCCGTGCGAGAAAGTTACGCTCGACAATCGTCCGTTCATTTTTTCACTTTGCTGATTATACCAGGAATTGTGTCATTGTTGCATAACGGGCCGACGCATGATAGGTCGAAGATAATATTCGTGGGAAAAATTAGTTTTAACAAACTTTTTGCATCCAATTTGAACTACTTTCTTTTTTTGAACCTTCTTAACCACTGTAGGTGCTTTAGGTCATTTATGGTATTTTAGTATTTTGGATTTTTTGAGAGTTTGTGAAAAATTATGAGGTGTTTGTAAATTCTTAGTAAAAATCTGACAATGAGACGGTTTCTTTAAGGGAAGGAGGGTGATCATCAAAGATTTTTTCAATTTGGATGGAAATTGTTCGGGGATGTTTAATTAACCGTAGAATTGAGTTTGGTAACTTTGTGGAGTTACAGCTTGTTTACAAGTAAAAAATTTGCAAATATTTTGTTTAATAAATTATCTGTAATTATGTTTACAATGACACAGTGTAGATACTTGCTTCTTGTTTAACGCTTTGGTTCGAAGTAGACGTTTTGGTGATATATTAATTTTCCAAATGACGTGATTATTAATTATTGTAGTTTATTTTCGGTTCCGTTCTTTCAGAGAATTTATCAAATACCCATTTCGTTATTTCAGGTTGCATTCTTTCATATCATCTTCATGTGTATATACAAAATGTACATATATGAACATCATTGCGTATAATTTTATTGTAAATATGTACATAATAGTTTCTATGAAATTGTCGTATGTTTGCACCGCGCACTTTGAAGATGCACCTTTAAATAGGAATCTGACTTTTTATTAAAATTTGTGTTGTTTAAACAATGGGGTTGAACTGATTTGATGATGAGCGAAGGCAGCGTTCATATGAGTCTATATTCTATCTTTTAATTTAAAATTAACAAATTTCCTAAATTCCCAAATTTTAAGATTCAAATCCTTACATTCGAAAGTCAGTACATTTTCAAATTTCTATGGTCCCGAATTTCCACAATGCAAAATCAGTACATACTTAAATTCCTACATTTACAAATTCTGGTATTTCCAAATTTCTAAATTCCGAAATCTCCGTATTCCCAACTCTCTACATCCAAAAATTTCCACATTCCAATATTTCCAAATCCCTACATTTCAAGTTTTCTACATCCCCATATTCCTAGACCCCCACGAACCAAAATTACCACATTCCTACATTTTCAAATCTCCACATTCTCAAATCGCCACACTCCCGAATTCCTCACATTACTGAATCTCAATGCATCCAAATCCGCACATTCTCAAATTCCCACACGTACAAATACCTACATTCCAACGTCTCCAAGTTTCCAATCCTCACACTCACACACCTCCACACATGGCTCAATGGACAGAATATGGGTTGCAATACCTGTTCGAACGCTGCCTTCGGTTATTACCGAATCGGTCAAATAACCGCATCATTTGAACTGGCTGCAGTGCTCCAGACCTACATACTTTTGGTCCTCGAACATAAACACACAAAAAAGTACAGAACAAACAGTATACATATTGTATATTATACTGTCTTTATACGTAATAGTATAAAAGTACAAGCAGTATGAAAACTGACTGGATATATTTATTTTAAAACATTTATTCAAAAACACAGATTAGACTCGCCACAAGAAAATGGCGGCTCGTAGCTAAAATCAGTACTGATGCTATTGTAGAAAACATTTACTCTCTTCTTTAAAATTATTAAAAAAAAATACAAACGTATGTAACAAAAAAATTCTATTGAAAAACTTGACAAAATTCTAAAATGACAGAATCAAATATTGTTTACTTACTATGTTGTTAATAATGTCAAGTGGAAAATAGGGGTTGCTGTTCCAGTGTCCACAACTGCCACTGTCACAAACAATTATTATTCTTATTAAATAGTTTATTGACCGTCAAGTGTCTGAATCTCAATGCATCAGTGTACAGAGTCTATTCAATAAAAATATGTTCGAGTATTACAAAAGTACGTAAGTCTCGCACGAGTAGAAAGTAAAAATATTATAATGCATTGATAACGTTAATAGCATTGGTATTCGATAAAGTTCATCATCATCCCCAGCATTAGTCCCGTCTAACGAACAATTGATGGGTATGTACGCATGAAAAAAAGTTGGAATAATGTCGCGTTGTTTAGAGCAATGCCCTGGTAAATACGCAAATGGGGACAGCATCGGTGACGCCGACAGTAAGTACCGGTCGACCGCCGACCGTTTCGCAGGGCGGTCGTATCGTACAGGATCGAGAGAGGGACGAGGCCACCAGGACGAAAGAGGTCGGAGGTCAACGCAGCTCCGTGTACATCGGACAGGTAAGAAAGCAACAGAGACAGAACATGATTTACAACGACGCTGTGGCTGATTCTTTCAGCGCTGCAACGTATCTCTGAGAGAAAGAGACGAAAAAATACGAGCAATGTCGAATCTTTCAGGACAAGTTCGTCAATTATTGGACCGATGGGGCCTCCACCACCAACCCGCGTGTCCTCGGTGTCAAAATAAACTCGGTGGCTGTAAGTTACGTTCTACACACCTGATCTTTATTCGTGTTTGTTTGCAATGACTGATGCAAAGTTTGTTAATTTAAAATTTAAGATAAGCTTTTAGGAGGAATTCATGCTTCTTTTTTATTTGGGGGAAATGTAGTTTTTATTTTATTTAGGAGAAATGTAGTTTTTACTTCATTTAGGAGAAATGTAGTTTTTATTTTATTTAGGAGAAATGTAGTTTTTACTTCATTTAGGAGAAATGTAGTTTTTACTTCATTTAGGAGAAATGTAGTTTTTATTTCATGTAGGAGAAATGTAGTTTTTATTTTATTTAGGAGAAATGTAATTTTTATTTCATTTAGGAGAAATGTAGTTTTGTTAAAAATTTAAGTATTTACAATTTTATTGGTATTTTGTTATGTTAGAAGTTTAGAGGTAATTTTGGAAAAAATGACGTTCATAAATTATAGTATGTAGGACTTGTTATTTCTATCAGATCTTGTATTAGCACTTAATTTAGAAGTTCCTTGTAATTTAGTTAAATATTCAGGTGTTTAGGATTTCATTAACATATAGTTTCTTCCAAAGTTATTTCGAGATTCGTTAAAATTTGATTAAAAGACGAAGTACATAGAATTTTATTATTATTAAGTTTTGATCAAAGTTGCAGCGTTTAGAGATTCATTAAAATTCTGTTCAAAAATTGAGAACAAAGATATGAAGTATTTAATTAAAATTTTGTTAAAGATCGAAAATTATTTGATACAAGTATAATGGCATACAATTACATACAAGTGCAATTACGATGTGTTAAAATATAGACCGGATCAAATTTGGGACCGTCGCCATCCGTGCCGTCTTTCGCAAATCTTTTGAACAATGAACCAGGAGGTCAAGTTACAGCTCCACCAGGATTCCCATGGAGGGATCCATTGGATCAAATTTTCGGTATTACTACCTCCTCGCCGATAATAACAGCTTCAGTTGCATCGAACTCGCTGGTTCGTATTCGATGGACGTTGCCCTCTAAATCAGTGTTGTCCAGAGCCCCAAATAGATTATCAAATTCCACCCTTTGTTTTCAAAATTATATGGACCACACTTATTAGTATTTTACCACACTTATTGGCACACGTACGAGTACATTACGATTCGACATATAATTCGCTATTTCAGGATGATTCTTCGGAATCGAGCAATCCGACTGCAGCAAGGCCGGTGAACCCATTCGTGGAAATTTTCACTCCACTTTCGAACGCGATTGGTATGCCAAGGGGAAATGGCGTGCTTAGTGTCACAGGAGCTGTTCCTAGTACGACGATGCAAACTACTCCTATTACTACTACTATGGCACCAACACCACCAGCTGCACCATCAACACCACCAGCAACACCACCACCACCTCCATCAACACCACCAACTACTACCGCAGCTCCAACTACAACTACACCACCTACAACTACACCACAGCCTACAACTCCTCAAACTAATGCTGCATCGCAAGCACCTCAGTCAACTCCTGGATCCACAGGACCTCCTTCGACAACACCGACTAATTTGCCTGCAAACTTGTTGAATAATATGCAACAGCAGAACGCATTTGGAACGTCGTTTAATGACCTGGTGTTCCTGAATTCGTTGGTAAGTGATCGGGCCAGCTTCATTGATTTTAATTGTTCATATGTGTATAAACTGTATTTGTTCGTATGGGTACTATGTGGACTTCATATGTGTACAAGTATAATTTGACAGGTTTAAATATTTGTTCGTATGGGTACCATGTGGACTTCATATGTGTACAAATATACATTGACAGGTTTAAATATTTGTTTGTATGGGTACTATGTGGACTTCATATGTGTACAAGTATACATTGACAGGTTTAAGTATTTGTTCGTATGAGTACTACATGGACTTCATATGTGTACAAGTATACATTGACAGGTTTAAGTATTTGTGTTCGTATGAGTACTATGTGGACTTCATATGTGTACAAGTATACATTGACAAGTTTAAATGTATGTTCGTATGGGTACTATGTAGACTTCATATGTGTACAAGTATACATTGACAGGTTTAAGTATTTGTTCGTATGAGTACACTATATGGACTTCATATGTGTACAAGTATACATTGACAGGTTTAAGTATTTGTTCGTATGAGTACTATGTGGACTTCATATGTGTACAAGTATACATCGACAGGTTTAAATACATGTTCGTATGGGTACTATGTGAACCTCATATGTGTACAAGTATACATTGACAGGTTTAAAAATATTCAAACAAAGAAGTGCATTCGACTGGTTGAAAAATTGTTAACAAAATATGAACAATCATAAAACAGCCTTTTCCTTATTAAATTGTAGTTATAATATTTATTTTATATTTTCGTCTTCGTTCAGTTGCAGGATAATTCTCGAGGATCTAAAACAAAGACGCTGACCCAAGTCGAGCAGCTGTTAGCCAACAAGGTACGTCTACAAACGCCTTAATAGTGTCTGAGTAAACTTAATACTAGAAAAGCGAACAGAAATCGAATTAGTAAGACGAATTGCAAATAAACGAATCGTTATGTTTCCTTTCACTTCGCACGCGATATAAAATCGCCTCGTCTGAATCATACAGGAAGAAAAATTCGGTTTATCGCCGATTACATTCAATTACCCCTACGAGAAAAAAATGTAATGACTTATCTATGACGATCGTAATCATATTATCGACTAGTCACGGTGAATGGACCGTAACAACCTTGCCAACGGCCTTCTTTATTCCCCGCAACGGTTTGTACGATATGTCATCTGTTCATAACGCTGAGTCGATGGATAATGGATCGCGTTAATGTACCGGTGATAAATGAATTTGTACCTTCATTGAAAGATAAGAGTATAAATGATTACCCTCCATCGATCGGGGGATATAAATCTTCTGCGCTGAATGACAAATTATTTGATGATGAAACCTTCAAATTTTCTTCTTGATAATATTTAGAAGCAACTAAATACTTAGATGCAGGATTAAAATACTGCACTTCATGTTTAACACTAAACCTACCGACATATAATGTACACTTATTTTGAAATTAAAAATGAAGTTAAAGAATAAATGTACAAACGACGAAACATAAATTAGCACACACATTTATTCTTTATCTTAATGAAAATCATTGTTGATTTCAAGGAATGTACTTTAACAAAATGTGTACCTTATAATAAGAAACGTGAGGAGCGGTCATTTGACTGGTTTGGTAGTTTTAGTATTAAATTGTTTTCGAATGAAAGGACATTAACTTTAGATCATTGCTTATTGTTAATATCTTTTCCGAGATATGACAGATATGATATTTAATGTATACTAGAGTTAGCATGTATTTTGTCTTACAATTGTCAAAATTTGTGAATAGATTTTGTCCCTGGCACTGAACGGCCCCGACCCAGGCCCAACCCGCGCCCCAAAGGCCATCAGCTTCGAGAACGCCTCTCCGAATTCCGTCTACCAGTCTCCAAAGTCCTACGAGCCGATAGTGATCGATTTATCCCCATCATCGACCGCCACGTCGCCAACGTGGAAACCGACCCAGCAAACTAGTCAGAAAGCGCCCATTAGTTCAACGACGGAACAAGTCACTCAGACCTCGATTTCGACCACGACCGCGAAGAGAGACATCATCACGAGCGCTCCTTCGACGACTGACAAAACCACCCTAATAAGCACCACAAAAGTCCCAGTCTCCCCTAAAACAGTGACTCGGCCCAGAACCACCACTGAGGCTCCCGTGGGTTTAGCGGGACTCTTGTGGCAAACTCTTCTGGGCGGAGGACTTTTTGGGCCATCGACTACTGAGAGACCTTTGAGGACTAAGCAGGTGAAGACTGTTACGAAGTCTGTGAACATCACTCCGAAGCCGATACCAACTACGCAAAGACCGACGACGACTAGTACCACTACCACAACTACCACCACGACTACCACAGCTCGTACTACAACAGTCAACACGATTGATATCTCGAAGATTCATGTGAGCACTCCGAATTCGATCGGAGTAGAAAAGAAGGCTGCTACGCCGGTTCCACTGTTGTCGACGACGAAGAAGTCGTTGCTGAATAATCCGAACCCCAGGTTGTCTGTTCCTACTTCCACTTTCTCTCCTGAAGAGGAGACCAGGTTCTTGCTGTCGATACTGAGAGCCGCTCAACAGGGTGAGGAACAGTTTAGGCTATGGGGAGATTATATTGTGGGCACTGTTGGGTTTCTGAACTTGAAATTAAGACATTTTCTTCTTAAGACATGTAGTATTCATATGGTAACTTTTGAAATTTTTGGACTAAATTTTGTAATTTTTGAAGATCTGAATACTAGCAGTGTCTATGAGATTCTTGATGTCTATTTGAATTTTTTTAATGAAGTAATGATTTGATGAATTAATAGATGAGAAAGCTGGCGGTTCGAAAAATTCTCTGGACGATGAAGCCTTCTTGAGAGCAATTTTAAGCGGACAGGCTTCCCCGACAAGTACTCCTCCTCCGCAAACGGAAATCAGCAACGCTGCTCTGTTGGCAGCGTTGTTGAAGGCTCAAGGCATCGAACCCGAAACGCCTGCTACTAACATCAGGGAGCAATTGCAGTTGGCTGTGAGTACCTTAACAGTATTGTTAATTAACTATTTAGATGTGTTGTTGGATAAACTTATAAAAATTCCAACTATTATTTTTTAAAGAATTACATACTTGTTACTTCACATACTTTCTTTTAAATCACGATTCTTCTTACAATTTTTATTTAGTTCCACATTCCATATTTGTTAGTCAAGTAAGGGCTAGAAACTTGAAAAATATAGAAAAGCAAATTTTCCAAAAAATTTTAAACACGTTTGTCATTCCTCTACCATAAAAAAATTACAAAGAGTCAAAAACAGCTTATAAAAGAACTTTTGCTTTCAACTCATAAAAAACAAGAAATAAGATAAAAATACTAACAATTTATAAGACCATTGCACAGTTTGATAAACGATCTCCGAATACGCGACTGATTTTAATTAATATCAATCTCGTCGTAATTGTTTCTGCCCGGAGCGGAAAAGGAGCACAGAGCGGAACGGTGCGATTCGAGAGGCGTTTAATCGGAGTTCGTAGCGAAGAAAAAGCGAACGGCGATAAAAGAAAATAATTGCTTGTCTTGTAACAGAGCCTCGGCCAGAGCGTCACCTCTGCTCCGAGCTTATCCCCGGCTAGCAGCGGGTCTACGACAATTACAACAAGGCCGACTTCGACTGCGACTCGAGCCACGGATACGACGAAAAACACGGTGACACCGAGACCAACCTCAAGACCAAGGGTACGCACAACAACGTGGTCGCCGAGCTCCACGTATCCACCTCCTCTCTTCAGCTCCTTCTCCAATTACGCTACACCGGGACAGTCGGCTGCCGCTGGCAATTCGGATAATGGCGCGATATTTGGTGCTACCAGGGCGTTCAGTCAATTCCTCGGTGCTGCATTAAGCGTAAGTTTTAGTAATTTAATTTATTATTGGTAGGGGTGGGTAGATAGGGACTATAGATAGGTAGATAGGGGCTGGAAGAGATGGGTAGATCAAGTATGTGATGGAGAGGTGGACAATAGGGAGTATGATGAGAGCAATAATGGATATTTTGCAATTTTTTTTATATGATAGTGTGGGTATATTGTGATTTTGGGATTTGGTGACGTGGTCATTTGCATCTTGATAATTGGTAACTTGGTAAATTAATAGATTGCTGCGTTGGTAATTCTAAAACTTGCACAGTTGGTAGTTTAGTAGATTGGTTAATTGGCAGGTTGGTACCTTCATGATTTAGGAGCGTGATAATTTGATAGCTTGGTAGATTGGTAGGTTGATAGATTGGTAGCTTGGTAGCTTGGTAGCTTGATAGATTAGTAGCTTGATAGCTTGATACCTTGATAGCTTGGTAACTAGGTAGCTTGATAGCTTGGTAGCTTGGTAGCTTGCTAACTTGGTAGCGTGGTAGTTTGATAGTTTGGTAGCTTCGTAGCTTGACAGCTTGGTAGTTTGGTACCTTGGTAACTTGATAGTTTGATACTTTGATGTCAAATTGATATCTTGACAATTATGTGGCTTGGTAACTTGATAATTTAGTAGTTAGTAATTTGATAATTATATCAAATTTTCAAAATACGAAAATGCTTCTAAAACATAGATACACTAATATATTCAATGACTCCCAAATATAATAATTAAAAAATAGAAATTATATTTTTGCTACAAATATAATATTTCGAATGTTTGTGTTTCAGGGAGCGGCACAACAGTTGCAGTCGTTAGTGAGAAATGGTACTAGGATCGTGTCCGAAGTAGTGGGATAAAATTAGCAAGAAAATAATAAAAATTTTTCGCGTAATCCATAGAATAAGAGAAGCGATTCGCGAGCATGAAAATCTGGAATGAACAAGCTGGTGGTAGCGATGCTTCGAAATAAGTATTCTTTTAGATATTCATTAAAAGTCAATCTGTTTGCTCGATGTTGAAGAGAAACTTCTCGAAATTTCCTCCTCCTTTTTTTATGTATAGATCGTAGCGTTACGCGCAGATAGTTGTTGGGTGATTATGTATTTTATTTTTATTGTACGTAGCTGATAACGGGACGTGACGTGACTCGATCGTTCATTCTTAAAACATGAAGAACGTATTTTATAATAATTCATTTTCAACTTTTCCGAAATATAATTTAGTAACTTTTAATTTTCAAGTTTGTTACATTTTGAGGAAGAGAGATGTAAAAGTATTAACAGTTGAAAATTTAGAAATATTGTAATTTTAATTTTCTATATTGTTTACTTATAAGTTTTTATGAATGTAATTCAGAGCTTCAGAACTTTATAAATTTATAAATTGAGAAATGTAATAATTTAGTGAGTGATTTAGTTTTAATTGAGTGATTTAATCTTCATGTTTTAAGAGTTGAGCGATGCCCGTCGACAGCGATGACGAAACAATTCGGAAAGTGTGGAGTTTCGTTCCGATTCGCGACAGGAGTAACGACTGGACGCCTTGCAAACGTTTCTGGGGTAGGAGCGACCGATGGCTCGTACCACTTTGAAACATTTGTAACGTTGGTCGCAATTAAGGTAATTAATCGAGGGCGATGCGGCTCGTCACGACTCTCTGGACAGTGACGATCCGCGGTGTCTTCGCGTGAAAGAGGGCGTTCCGACTTCTGATGCCCACCCACAAAGATCGATTTAAGGGTCCAGTATCGTGGACCTCTTCCGGGAAAATCGAAAAGCCGACTTCATTTCTTCTGCGATAAAAGCAATTTAACTAATGTATGATTATCAAGCGAAACACCTCGTACTGTCATTCTCAAAATATTCTCCTTGTGTAGTGTGCATTCTGATATGTGTGGGATGTGAGGTATGTGAGGGAAGTGTATTCTAATATTTGGTTATGTTTGAGTGATGGTTGGTGGAATGTTAGAGATGGATTTTTGTATTTATAGGGGATGGAAATTTGGGGGTTGGAAGTTCAAGCTTTTGGGAAGTTGGGAGGTGGGAAATTGGGGGATTTGGAAGTTGTGGAATATTAAAATTTGAAATTTGTGGAATTCTAAAATTTGGAAATTGTAGAATGTTATAATTTGGAAGATTGAAGAATTGAAAATTTGGAAAGTGGAGGACTCTGAGATTTGCAGGTTTGAGAATTGTGAAATATTGTAATTTGGGAATTTGAAGAATTGGAGATTTGGAAATTAGAGAGCCCCGAATTTGGAAATGATAGAATTTGGAAATGTGAGAATTCAAGAGATTAAAAATTTGAAACTAGAAAAATTGTAAAATTTGAAACCAGAAAAATTAAAAAATTTGAAACTAGAAAAATTAAAAAATTTGAAAAGTTGTTCACATATAAAATTCGGTACATTTTCCTCACTCGAGAAAGTGTATCGAAAAGAGATAAGAATCATAAAAAATGATATACATATTAGAAATCGGCCCGCAGAATTCACGCGCAATTACGACATACTACTCCCGATACGCAGAGAAAATTGTTACATTTTTAATAACTGCGTGTTTCCCACGAGTGAAGAAAAAACAGTAATTCCAGGTGATATATCGCTGTCACTCGTAAACGCTTGTCTAAGAATACGCATCGTAATCTGTACAAATCAATGAAATTGAAAAAAGAAGGAACATTATTGCAGACTTCCGTAACAACGCAAGAATTTTCTGATCGATAATGGGAGAATAATCGCGAGTGTCGTAACGGGTAAATAATCCTCTTCATTCTCGTTACATCTACGTGTACTTCATTTTTTTATTCAATTTTAAATAACACTCGTCTAGAGAAGATCTAAGAATATAGAAACAATTTGGCTGATTTAAGATTTTCAAGCGAAGCATAATGTACTTTCATTCTCAAAATATTCTCCTCGCAATTATACAGGTCGATACAGAATTCGATTTTCCGATTCTTCAAACGTTGTAAAAAAATTTACACTTTTTACAAAGTAGTTAAACTGCAAAATCGGGATCTCCGAGCTGCATAATTGTGCAAATAATATTTTGAAAAAGAAAGTATGAGAAAATATTGCTTCCTCGCTTGAAAATCGTACGTCGGTGAAATTGTACTGTCCTTGTCTCTCCTGTACGAAGAGAGACAAGGATCGTCGGAGTTCTCGGTTTTGCCGTACGAGGCCCCCAATGTCGATTCAGAGACAATTCGTCACTTCACTAGAATCTAGTGACTAAAACTAGACTCTTGACGACGACTTCTCGTCGGCTGCTAAGAAGCTGGTAATTTATGAAACAGGGAGAGAATGAGAAAGAATGCGTGCATAGGTGAATGTGTGTAGAGAAAGAGACGGTTCAGAGGATGGATAGCGAAGCGTCGTGGGAGCATTGTGTACAGATCTATTTTTTTTTCTTTTTTACATAATAAAACCGAAAACGATTCTTGGGTCCTGTTCGTCTTCTTTCAATTGTTGACTTTGTTTTACGAAAGCGCGTCGTAACACTTTTGTAAATTTGTTCTTATTTTTTGATAAGTGTCCTTTGTAAATTAATGAAAAATAAACATTTCGGGAAACGTAGACCCAGAAAATTGACTCCTTTTGGTTCAATCTTTCTTTTGCATTATAGCAACGTATTATAGTAAGTTAAGAACTAGGAAATAGCAAGAGGAAAGAAATAGGGGTGGTTTTGTTCGTGAATTCATTCTTCCTTTCATTTTTTTTTAATACCACGCATTCTCCTTTACGGTGAGAACAACCATGAGGATCGGTTTGGAACATGAATCATTCGCTATGTTGTATTTAATAGTCATTAAGGACAGCTGACTAGATATGACGTTAAGTGACGCACCGACAGAAATAATAAATATCGCTTGGAGAGATACTCTTTTTTTCTTTGCTTGAAGACAAGGTAATGACGGATCTACCATAGAGATATTTTTATTGACATGATACAGGTGTGAATCCCGAAAGAAGGTCAACATCGAATGGAAAATTTCGAGTATGGGGTGATATCGAGTGAGATCACTCTGATGTAAGTGAACTCGGAAGTTTTGGGGTCAATCAACAATTTGGAAATTTTTAAGACTTATAAATTTAGAAAGTTAAACATTTTTCGACTTCCAAAATTCTAAGGTTCCCTCTAATTTCTAAAATCTTTCGAGTGCCAAATATCAACCCCATTAAAATTACAAGCTTCACTGTTACTCTTCTATAATTCTGTGAATTAAAAGAAAATATTTAAAGTAGTATTCTGAAGTAGTATACATAATTAAAGACATCCCTTCAGTAACTGTTTCCCCATATTTTACATATTAAACATCGTTTCCAAATCTTGCTGGTACGGTGACATTCCAAAATTTCAGTATTACACAGACATCATTATTTTTTATATTACCTCGAATTAAAAAAAAACTAATAAAATATGTTGTCGGTAGAAGCGGCTTAGTTTGCAAGAAGGCAGACTGTATTTCGATAATCCGGCCACTGTTAACACTCTGCTGTGTCAGAGTTTCAGTGGAAGCTCGAAACACGCTCGAGGATAAAAGGTGGAAGGCATGTTTGTACAGGTTTCACCGGCAGCCTTGCCACGAAAATCCCTGAAACGGAATTTCGCGCCGATAAATAACAAGAGAGTTCACCGACAATACCGGCTCGAATCGTTTGGTACCACATGCCACTTGGTTCTCCGGCAATTTAAATAAATTAACGGAGAGCAACAGCGAAATCGAAGTCCCGCGCGTTCCCTTCGTGTGCACGGTTAAAGCAGAAGAAGAAGAAGAGGAGGAGGAAACGAAGGAATAAGACGAAGAGGAGCAAGGAAGAAGAAGCGCGTACGCATCGATTGTAAGACCTGGAACACCCACGCGTGCTCGCGATGCCTTTGCAAATTTTTTTACTTTGCTCTCGGATAATTACAGCTAATGGCAGTCATCGAGAATGCGAGACGCGTACTTGTGTCGATACTGAAAGCTACTCCACGATAACGCTAGTATTCTCGAAGGTTGACTTCTTTCGATATCGTCTGCGAATTTCTATATTTTCTTATTTCACCATTTCTGTAGTTTGCGGGACATTTTCAAGATCTTCCACTTTGTAAATGGGAAAGTCCTAGATTTCTGGATGTACAAAGTAAATCCATTTCCTTAAATTTTGCGTCTACTTAAAAATGTCTGCTTTATAAAGTGTGTCATAAATGAAGTGTGAACTTCATGACTTTACAAAGTGTGCACATGTATTGCACACATGTAGAAAGTTGACATATGAACCAGTAGTCTCCACACGCTTTCCGCTAAGAAGATTATCAGAAGAGTCACTTCAAAGATTATTAAAGTAAAGAGTAACAGTAAAGACTACATTAAATACTCGAAGAAAATAACATTGCTTGTTATACAAGTCTACAAATATAATATTTTCCCCTACGAAATGATTCAGCCGTTTTGAGACACGACATTCTTCAAACAATCGCCAAGAAGCAGACCGGGTTTTCTCTCGCAAGTGTCACAACAACAAGTGGTTTCTCTTCTTTCACCTAGTATTTTATGATTGAAAGTCGCGGTCTTTGTCTTCTTCCTGGCAGATTTTCTACAACTCTCGAGTGATTTAAGAAAAAAAAAAGTTCCTAATATACTACCGTAACATTTCGTTTCGTAATCAAGAAGGACTGTTTTACCGTGACTATAACACAACGGTACCGAATCGTGTTGCAACCGCATTTCTTTATACATAAAAAGGAAAAAGAATAGAGAGCTGGGTCTCTCGTGTAGCATTTATCGCCGCATCGAATCTCAATCGCGTAACATCGAGCGATCTCTGCTTCTAGTTCTCATCCCGATTTCAAACCCTGTCCATGCAAAATTACGAGCTACGATAAATATAAACGAACAAGGACGTTTTTAACGCTTTGAGCTTCGATCTCACGGATTCGTGACTTCTTGTACGAATTGCTTCGATCGTTTCGACAGTTTATGGATAGCATTTTGGGGAGATAGAGGAAATTACGGTCGGAGTTTTTGTAAAAATTTAATTATCAGATGTGAAAGGTACGGTGCAGTGTTTAGGTGCAATGTGGGGTTTCTACTGTATCGATGAGTACGGAAGTGGACGCCATTTTGTTCTTGGACTCTTGGCAATGATCAGGTTGTCGATTTACTGAAGCTTTTTATTTGTTTATATTGATAAGGTGAAAGGTTATAAGATTTGTCATTTGTGAAGTTCATCAAATGGGTAAAGTTTGTGAAATTACAAAAATTGTGAAGTTTATGACATTTGCAAAATTTGAAGATTCTGTGAAGTTTATAAAATTGATAAAATTAGTAAAATTTGTAGAATCTGCAAAATTTATAAACTTGATAGAACTTGTAAAATTTATAGAATCTGCAAAATTTATAAGGTTTATAGTATTCATTAAATTTGTCGAATCTGTAAAATATATAAACTTGATAAAATTAGTAAAATTTGTAGAATCTGCAAAATTTATAAGCTTGATAAAATTCATAAAATTTGTCGAATCTGAAGAATTTATCAAATTTATAGTATTCATAAAATTTGTCGAATCTGTAAAATTTATAAACTTGATAAAATTATAATAGTAAAATTTGTAGAATCTGCAAAATTTATAAACTTGATAATATTCATAAAATTTGTCGAATTTGTAAAATTTATAAAAATGATAAAATTAGTAAAATTTGTACAATCTGTAATATTTATAAACTTGATAGAATTCGTAAAATTTATAGAATCTGCAAAATTTATAAGCTTTATAATATTCATAAAATTTGTCGAATTTGTAAAATTTATAAACATGATAAAATTAGTAAAATTTGTAGAATATGCAAAATTTATAAACTTGATAAAATTCACAAAAAT